AGAATACCTGCAAAAACTCAACGCCGGAGGTGTTTCCGGCGTAGAGCCTCCGACGCTCAAGTCAGTATGTGAGTGATGAAGAGAGGCTGCGCAGCAGCTATGGGGGAGAGTGGGAATGAATGAGAGTTAGGGTTTAGGGTTACCTCACCTCCTTTATATAGGAGTGAATACTTACTTGAAGTGCCCAAAATGCCCAAGTCGGTGGACCTCGAAGGTCCAAAATGCCCCTGTCGATTCGTCTCCCCTTTGTTGCTGAGTCATCGCAAGATTCCTTCTCATCCTTGGTAATGTATAGAGCTTTGGATATGTTACAAGTGTGGTGAGTCGGCTTCACCACTTTGATCCTCGAGATGTACAGAGTCGACCTCGAGAACTAAGAGGTCGACTTATGAATATATGCGGTTTCGGAGGCTACGCCTGGTTTAATCCTCTGCGGTGGTCGTCTCTTGGAGAGTCGTCATGAAGAAGTCGACTAGTGGAAGTCGACCTAGAGTATCTGGATAGTTGGGAGTTGCATTCTTGATGTCCTTCTAGTATGAGGTCGACTAGCAAAAGTCGATAGATAGAGGTCGACTTGTGGGAGTCGACTAAACCAATTTCGACCTCTTCTTGATTGTTTTTAGGAAGTCGACTCGAACATATCGACGAATCACCTCGATATCTGAGTCGTTCAAATGGCTCACCGGTCGAGTAGGAAGCCTCTTAGACCGGGTTATCCTTATATGACCATATCAATAAATAATATTTTTATTATATTATATTATATTAATTTTAATTCTTTATTTATTTAATTTATTATTTCATAATAAGATATATGATTTATTATTTATTTTACTTTATAATTTTTATACTTTATTATCTTATATAATTATAATTTTTATTTTTCTTTAATTAGTTTATTTTAATTTTATTTATTTATTAATTTCATTTTTGTATTTATTTTTCTCATTTAAAATATATTAAATTATAACTTTATTTAATTTTGGTTCACGCCAGTACATTAAATTTTATCTTACTTTATTTAATTTAATTTTTTTCATTATTTTAAGTTAATTTAATTTATTGAAAGTTATTAGTATTATTATTATTAATTATTTAATTTATAGTAAATTGACATATTATCCTTTTATTTTATTTATTTACTTATTTTTAAACTATTTAATTCATTTCAGTATGATGTATAGATATATTTATGTTCAATAGATTACACATCCATCCATATGGCCTAGTGGATGAGCGGCCATTCCCTTCCTTTCCAACCCAGGTTTGAATCTTGTTGCCTACATTTCATAACATTGGGGTTTTGCACATAATTCAAGGGTAAAACAGTAGTTTTCGCCACTTTGGGGTGAAAAAATGAAGAAAAAGTCGCACAACATGCGCGTGCACGCCACTTCCGTCATCTTAGACGGTTTAGGGTGTTTCGCGCATGCAAAACCTTAATAGAAGGGGGTCTGACGCAATTTTTAAAATACAGGGGGAAACGCACAGATTTCGTATAATACAAGGGGGTACTAGATATTTTACCCATTTTTACCCCCATGCAAAGAAATAGAACCCACTCTCAACCATTCCCCAAACTGCCCCAAGCTAAGCATATTTCTGGCAAAATCCCCTTTTTTAGAAGGACAATTCTTATCAATATGTCCTATCAAACCACAGTAAAAACAGAAAGCTTGGAGGTTTTCGTACCTGAAATCAACCCATCTAGTCTCTGAGCCAAATTTGATGTTGGTTCCTCTGGGAATAGCTTCTCTTAAATTCAACTCAATTTGCACTTTCATGATATTTCCATTCATACTCTCTGCACCAGGAACAAGGACATCAATCACCTCACCTATGACTCTGCCTACTTTAATACCAATCTCTGCAGTCAACCAGTGTAGTGGAAGGTTATGCACTTGTACCCAAATTTTAACCTTCTCTTCTTCAGGAGAGAAATCCAAAGATTCCGGCACCCAGTCTTTGAGCAAAATATATTACCCATCAAATGTCCACGATTTCCCTTTCAAGATCTTCTCTTTGTCCTCCATTGACTGGAACGTGAACTGGTACAGATTTGGCCCAATATTCTTGATAAGAAATTGCTCCTTAGTAACTAGCAGTGTCAAACGGGCCGGTCCGGTCCTGCCCGCGGTTCAAACGCGGCGGGTCAAAATGACCCGTATTTCTACGGGCTGAGAAATCCATGGCCCGTGGCCCGCCCTCATTAGCCCGCGGGCCAAATCGGCCCGCCCGCGGATTTTTTGGTATTATGCACTCTTATATACTTTTTGGTTTGTTTATCCTTATATTTACTAGTATATTAATAAACTAGTAAGGCTTCATGTGTAATGATGTTAAATATTTGTCATCCAGTTTTTATTTTTATTTTTTTTATGAATAGTTATAGGATATTCACGAGGAGAAGAGACTTAATTCACATAAAATATTATTTGATTCATTAATATTTTTATTATGTAAAAAAGTGTTTCATGTGCATTCACAAATCTTAATATCATTGTCAAATTTTAAAAAATATAAAATAATTAAATATGGAAGAAGAAGAAGAAGAAAAAAAAACGATAAAGACAATCCAACAAAATAAAAAAACGGGCTGGACGCGGGCCAGCCCGCCCTAGCTCGCTTTAGACCGCGGGCTGAACGGGGCGGGCCAAATAGGCCCGCGATTGAATGGGCTGGTCAAACAAAGGCCCAAGCCCGTCCATTTAGGCGGACGGACGGGCCAGCCCGCGGGCCATGGCCCGTTTTGACAGTGCTATTAGTAACCCATATACTATGAAGAGTAGTTTTAAGCCCATTGAAATTGGCCTTCTTCTCGCCGTATATTTTTCCAATTAGGCTCAATTGGCATTCCTGACGACCAATGGCCATATCGTCCTCTTCAATTTCCAACCCCTTCTTCTCTTTGTCTGAAAGTTTGAATTTCTTCAACTTATCTGCCAAGTCCTCGGCCATACTAGACGGAAAATGAAACCCACCTCAACCTCTGAAAGTGAGGAGAATGCTACACTGCACAATAAGACAAAAGAGAGCAGAAAAGGAGCTAACCATCAAATAAGCAAATACGCAGTCAAAGCGGTTAATGAGCGAGTAACAAGCAAGATCCTCAAATCAACAAGCAAAAAGGGCTTAATTGACAGGAACCCTAACACCCTAAGAAACCCACACACGATAACTAGGGAACCTATTCTAAGAAGATACAAAAAGGAGAGACTCGAACACAGAAGGACATCTAAGGGTAAGCAAGAACAAAGGGAAAGATCAGACTAGAAGATTAAACAAAAAGGAAACCCTAAACGGGAACCTCCAGAACCTGGAACTTTAACTCTAGAGGGAGAAAAATCTCATTAAGAACCACCTTTCATCTCCAGAATTTTGAGCCAACCCCAACCTAATTTAGCCCACATTTATAAGCCACATTAGATCAGACAACTTATAAATTTATATAGCTTATAATTTGAGGTTTGGCTAGGAATAATAATGAACCATACTTCAATGTTTTAAATTGCATAAAACAAATTGCCAACATAGTGAACAATTAGTTAAAGTTACACAATTGAAAGACATTTTTGTTACTGAACTTACCAAAAATAATTATTAGTCAACATTATGTCCAATTTTAGGCTAAAAATTTCTATTGAGACCATGTTTTAATTTTATCACGAATTCTGGTGTTAGCAGCCCAATCATTAGGCGTGTCAGCTATCTTACTATTTCAAAAAATATATGCTTACACTATCAAATATCGTATTTATATTCATGTTATTTTATAAAGTACGTCATTTTCTAATAAAAGTATGCACAATATAAAAAAAAAAATAAAAGAAAAATATGTTAGTCTAATGGTTAGGCCATCCTAACATAAAACCTATCATAATTTTATATATTTCATAACTTCGACAAACAGTAAGACTGTTAGATAGATCTAATGGTTTAGATAGTCGTATTTTCCAACGGATGTGCATACTTTCAAACTGAAATATCACTTTAAAAAACAATATAAACAAAAGTACGACATCTTATTGTTTAAGTGCATTATTATTTAATAAAAAATTAAAACGGGTCGACCATCCTAATAAAATTTTTCATTTAGTATTTTCCAATTATTTAGCAATCTATATATGTAAATTGGCCTAATAGTTAAGCACCAGCTACAAAAAATTGGTCAAGGAAGCAACAATTCAAACCTGCCAATTAAATGTCCTGCAAATGTAGCTCACCAATTGCCTTCAATTCCAAATAGTTCACCATATATAACACACACAAACCAACAACAATGAACACAAGAAATATTGCGTCATGACAAAAATTTTATTATCATACACAACATTATTATGCTTTCATTACTTTCTACTCCTTATAATAACGACAACAAGAGCCAAATTGCCGGCGGTCATCGTGTTTGGGGACTCGTCAGTTGATGCCGGTAACAACAACTATGTCCCCACGATTGCTCGGAGCAATTTCGAGCCGTATGGTCGTGATTTCGAAGGCGGGAAGCCCACAGGTAGGTTTTCGAACGGGCGGGTCGCCACAGACTTTATCTCGGAGGCTTTGGGCCTCCGGCCCACTGTGCCGGCATATTTGGATCCCGAGTATAACATTACAACTTTTTCCGTGGGAGTCACTTTTGCTTCTGCTGGAACTGGATATGATAACGCGACCTCTGATGTGCTAGTAAGTATATATGCACTATACGTTTTGCTTCTCATAAGTTCTACTATTATATAATATCTTATTTGTTTTTTTAATTAAATATACACACGTTTATTAGCACATGTTGTACTTTAAAAAATAATATAAACAAAAGTATGTCATTTTAAGGATATGTTTAACGATTAGGCTGTTTTATACAAGAACTTGTAGATAGTAACGAGTAAAAGTGGTATAAGATGGTCAAACTTGTAGACCATTCGACTGTTGAATACTATAATGACAATTTCTTTTTGAAAAACTATATACACTCTTTAATTTTAGTTTCTTATTGCACATATTATGAATTCTTCAAGGGGGTGATTCCTTTATGGAGGGAGTTGGAGTACTACAAAGAGTACCAAACTAAACTAAGAGCCTATCTTGGTGACAAGAAGGCCAAGAACACCATCACCAATTCATTGCACATGTTAAGCATCGGGACGAACGACTTCTTAGAAAACTACTACGCTTTTCCACCGAGACAAAGGAAATTGCAGTACACGATCGATGAATACAAAGAATTCCTCATCGGGATTGCTAGAAATTTCATCCACGACCTTCACGGGCTCGGGGCACGTAAGATCAGTCTTGGTGGGCTTCCTCCTATGGGTTGTATGCCCTTAGAAAGGGCTCAAAATGTGGCAAATAGGAATGAATGCAGGGAAGATTACAATGTGGTGGCCATGAGCTTCAATGCAAAGTTGTGTGATTTGGTGATGGGGTTAAACAAGGAGTTGCCTGGGTTGCGACTCGTTTTCTCCAATCCTTACTATAAGCTTCTACGAATCATTACAAACCCATCAAAATACGGTAAGTTTGTCATGTTGAGCATCCCATAACTTTTCTTTTTCTACCTTTCTGTTCCATATTATCTATTTGCAGGGTTTGATGTCTCTCGAACCGCGTGTTGTGCGACTGGAACATTCGAGATGGGATACATTTGCAACGAACAAAACCCTTTCACGTGTAGAGATGCAGAAAAGTACGTGTTTTGGGACGCATTTCACCCGACACAGCATACTAATAAACTAGTTGCTGATCATATTGTTAAGAATGTCCTGTACAAGTTCCTTTAATACACCACAAAAATATTTCTCTGTCTGAATAAATCGGATGCTCGCCTATACGTGCACTGACTTATCTGTTGGTAGAGGTATATATAACTATGCAATATACACGAGTGATATAGGCATGTGCACAAGTATTGTACTTGTTACCTAAGCGATTTCATCCGAACCCAATTGTTCGTGGAATCACAGCAAAATCAACTCAAACTGAATTGCCCTTGAATTCATATTACATCAGATAAACTAAAGAATCCGAAAGGGCTATGGCTAATGTAGATTCGTGAAGCAATACACAACTCGTCATAGTCAAAAAAATGTTTTTTTTTTAGGTCGAATTCTTGTTTTCTAAGGTGTAAAAATGAAAAATGATTTAAAAGTGGTGCTACAGCTCGTCCTTGCTTACACTGTCTTCTCCCATAAGCTCATCCAGGGAGAACTCGTCTTCCTCGATTATTTGCCCGTCTTTACCGTCCCATGGTTCGGTCTTCTCAATTACAGGGCTGCCCTCTAAAGGTAAATTGCCCTTTCCACCTCGTCCAGCTTCTTTAACAAACTCTCTGGGAAAGGAAAGGGGGGAAGAAAAAAAACAAAAAAAGAAGCAACATGAAGTTTACTCCCAATTTTGATAGAATCTCAGAAAGATCTGTATCTATAATGCGCGATTAAAATGCCAATAGATCAAGATAACTAATTATCCTGTAAAATATAACATATTTTATCTGGAAGTATTTTCTATACATAAATTCACAGAATTGATAGCAAAACAAATGGAGAAAAAAAATAGAGAATCCATCATTTTATTATTAATGTATAGTTCGAGACAGTTTCACATATACATGATTCAAGCCCTAATGAAGCATTCACTTTTATTTTGGTTTATCGATTTGGAATTACTTGGAAAAATATATCGAATTTTCTTACTGTGATTAAAGGAGTGAAGCAAGGAAGAGAGAATGAATGAATACTCACATGATATGTTCAAGCTCAAATGCGCTCTTGAGAGGGGCATAAGCTTTCTTCTTTAAATTTAGGGCCACCAGAGCTGGATATCCATAGCCACCAACTCCAACATGCTTCTCAAGATCAGGTTGCTTACCGGCAGCTGCCCAGAGGTAACTGCAGCATTCTCACAAACATTAGTCCCCTCACATGAAAAAAGAAAGTAAATCCTTCACCAAATTGTCATATGAAAATGGTATTTAAATAATCGAGTACAACAATATACCCATTATATTCCCAACAGGTTGGGGTCTGGGGGGGTCAGTTGTACGCAGACCTTACCCTTGTAATTATACAAGGAGGCTGTTTCCGTAGCGACCCAAGGTGCATTGCGCCGTTTGATATATTTTTTTTCTAGAAACTTCACTAATAGCACTAATAGAAGAAGCACTAGAATTTAATTGAGTCATTTTGATCTAGTCCATTATTAGCACTATGCCAGGAGAATTGTCAACAATGACTCTTCCAGCTCCATTTGCAATGGACAAATTTGGATAATCTGAGTAAATTCTGTTTTACCTGTAAGGACTCTTTTTGAACTTCTCTGCAACTGATAGCAACTGCTCGAGATACTTATTTCTTCCCTCGGCCTTGGAGTCCAATATATCGGGAAGAAAGGCAACAAAGCATATTGCAGCTGAACCACACTTCTCTTCCACAACATCCTATGGATTAAAACAGCATTTCATTGGTAAAACCTAAAGCAAATTATATATATATATATATATATATATATATATATATATATATATATATATATATATATATATATATATATATATATATATATATATATATATATATATATATATATATATATATATATATATATATATATATATATATATATATATATATATATATATATATATATATATATATATATATATATATATATATATATATATATATATATATATATATATATATATATATATATATATATATATATATATATATATATATATATATATATATATATATATATATATATATATATATATATATATATATATATATATATATATATATATATATATATATATATATATATATATATATATATATATATATATATATATATATATATATATATATATATATATATATATATATATATATATATATATATATATATATATATATATATATATATATATATATATATATATATATATATATATATATATATATATATATATATATATATATATATATATATATATATATATATATATATATATATATATATATATAGGATGTGGTTCAAATGAGAACCAAGTTCTAACGTGAGAACCGTGAGAACCGCTATTTATAGTTGCAAGTAGTGCTATGATTTATTGTATTTTAGTGCTATCTTTAACATGGATCTATTTTCTTAAAAATAGCAACACAATTTATATTAGCATTTATTAGCATTTATGGAAATGATAGCACTATGTGATATTAAAAATAGCATCATACACAATAAAAAATAGTATTAAATACGGTTCTCACGGTTCTCACACCAGGACTAGTTTTTATTTGAACCACTCCCTATATATATATATATTATATTTGTTTTCTTTTATTTTCTCTTTTTATCCACTCGATTTTGGTTTGGAGATTGGAGTTAAGCAGAGGAATCTAACTTGGCTGGTTAATTCAGTGACTTCAGGAGGGGCAGCATTTGTTTCAAGCTGCTCCAAAGCGAATGACTCGATTGCTGATGCTGATCTGGCACCTTCATATGGAAAAGGGCTGTCTTTGTCTGCACCAAACACCAAAATAGTAGGGAATCCTTGCACGTTGAACCTGCTCATCAAGGACTGGCAAATTCTGATTGTTAAAAAAACCGCAACTTAATTCACAGTGGTTGCATTGAACAAATGGTTCGACTTAACTTAACCCTCTTTTATCATCAGGACTAGTTACGTCGATCAACAAATCAGTTAATAGCGATATTGTGAAATATGATGAAAATCATGTACTTAACATGCTTATTTGACCAACAACTAGTAAGTTGTGACTCACTTTTTCTGCATCACAGTCCACATGCCCCAATTTCACTTGGCCCTTCAGACTGTTGGCGGCCTTCTTCCACTCAGGAGCAAGCTTCTTGCAATGTCCACACCTTCACAATAATATAGATCAAATCACATAAAACTCAAAGAACGATCAAAGTTAAGTAATGGTCCCAAATACATTAACCCAAAAGAGCGAGAGATGCTTATAAAATGACTGGTAAAAATAAGCATTACGTTATTGGCAGCAAAGGGGCCAAGCAATTTTAATCTAGTTTTAAAAATATTTTTAAAATAACAGTGTGTGTGACATAATAGAGTATAGAGATTGAAAGCAAATGAAGAAATTAACAGGAAGAAGACAAAACAACTTAAACAAGAATGCATGGCATTCTCCTCTAAAAAAAACTTTCCCTCCCAAACTTTAAAGTCGAGTTTTGCTAAATCTCATAACGCATTCTCCAGAAGACATACATAAATATAAACCTAATTCTAATGGGACTGGTTAGCACTAATTAATGAAATAAACTTAACGGACTAGGGTTATAATTAATTAACATAAGAAATAGATACAAGGCAAAGCAGGCGAGCCAGCAAATGGTGTAGTCTGCCACTCAATTTTTGTGCCAATAAGAGTCCATTTTCTTAATTACAGTTGCATTCTGTTTCAAAATTAAGTAGCCATCTCAATTTATACTCTTTGCATGAAAATTCCACCCAGAGCTAAAGCATTTCAAGCTCATGAAAAGTATGATATTCTATAAAAAATCAGCTAGATAGCAACTGTGAACTCCCTATTTATATTCGATTACCAAAAACGATTTGACGATAACCACAGTCTCATGGGTCCAAGAACTGATTACAGAATTACCAAAAGCACTACCATGTAATGAAGAAGTAAAATTTTTGCAACATACAATGAAGAAATAAAATTACCATAATATACCACCAATATGTAATGAAGAAGTTAAATGATGCCAAACTCAACGAATAATTCGTTCGATTAAACAGATCATCAGAAAATAAATTAGGGTTCAACTTACCAAGGAGCAAAAAACTCCACGACCCAGAGATCCTTGCTTTTGAGAACCAACTCATCAAAATTACGCGAGTTCAATTCCACTGATGCACTTGGTTCTGATTTTTTGCTAGATCCTTCGGTAGATTTCCCCTCCAGACGATCTTTAAGGAGTGTTTTAACCTTAAAGAAGTAATCAAATGAAACGGTTACCCCGCTTATTCCCTAAATTATATAAACTGTTCACAAGCAAAACCAGACTAATGGCATCATTCCTGACTCGGAAGCTTAACCCATTTAATAGGAGCTCATGTCTGCATGTTAATTGACTAGATGGATCCCGACAAATACCAAGGTAAATATAAGCAAATGCTTCATCTGAAGGATGGCAAAAAGTTTCTGCATAATGGTAGAAATATTTGAGGATGCCTATTTTAAGAGCATTTTATTACAGAGAAAAAGCTTGATACTTCATTTTTCTTAAATATTATATGTTCGATGTTTATAAGGTGATACAAGGGAACAAAACAATGCCGCACAAAACTCTTTGAACAATTGGTAACAGGAAATCATTCACCTGTTTCAATGCAAACTCAACGATGGGCTTGGCATCCCTGGCTCCTTGATAATCTACCGGAGCTTTCCCTGGTACAAAGACCTTAATGGTGGGAAAACCTCTGATTCCATATTCCTACAGAGTCAAAGGACGAAATCATCTCAGGATGATAAACAACAATCTTTTCAAAACAAGTCTTGTACGCAAGAAATCCAGTTTCTGATGAGCATGTTCTTATTCATTAAGACAAGTTTCTCAACAAGAACGCACCTGAGCTAGAGACTTGTGAGCATCGGCATCGAGAGCCGCCACAGTAGCTACACCCTTCAAGACATTGGCCGCCTTCTCCCAAGTGGGCGTCAGTGCTTGACAATGGCCACACCACGGTGCAAAAAACTCAACTAAAACTACACTGTTTGAATTAAGGACCTGCATTGTAAGTCATTTTTTTCTTCTTTTTAAATCAACAGAATTCAGAAAAATCGGCTGGAGCTATACACCTGATAGTTNATAGAAAAAAAAAAAAAGAGAGAGAGACTAAATCAGATCCATTTCACTCGCATAATTGAACGAAACAGAAAATACTCATGAACAGCATTGATTCAGTTGAAACTCACGCCTTTTTGTCAGAAAACACAAATCAGATGCACAAAAAACTCGATAAATTCACCGAAAAATCCCAACAAAAAAGTTTAAACAAGCAAAAATGAAAAGGGGGCTAGCTCAAAAACAGAAACGAAAGCAAATGCTTGTACCTTGGACTTAAAATTGTTCGGATTGAGCTGAACAACGGGTGACGATGGTCCGTACAATGCATAAACCCCTAAATTTCCAACCAGCGAGATGAGCAGAAACACAATCAACAGCGATTTCTCCATTTTTTTTATTTCTAATTTCTGCTTCGAATCGAAATTGGGGCCATATTTAAATGGTTTCCGCGGAGATGATAAAAAAATGCAGTGCTGGTGTTACGTAAATTGGACCAATGACCGTCCTCCACGTCATATATTACTCTTATGATTGTCATTTTGTTATAGAGTTTTCTAGATTGTGTGCTGATTAAATTCCTCGCCATTACTATATAAAATCAAATGATTGTAATAAAATAAAATAATGAAATTCATGTGGGTGAGCAATGTGGTTGGGTCACTGCAAAATCATCGAACTGAAAAAATCAACAAAATCAAAATGTTTAGTTCCACAGTTGAATTTGTGAAATGTTAAAACCGAAATGTGCTGCAAAACACAGAAAAGCAAAAACTTTTATACATTGGTAGTTAATCAAGGATTATTCAATTTTTCTATGTATTTGGATTCGGTTTAAAAAAAAATAATAAATTACCAAATCAAAAAATTAAAAACGAAAGTTGTGAAAATCAATTGAATTACACCGCAACAAATAGAAAATAGTTTACACACTAAAATATTCGAACTTAAATACAGTTTACAACCTAACCATACATTAATGCAAAGTTCTGTTAATTTGTAATAGTTTTTTTCTTTTATGAGCCAATCCTCCTTATAAGGATCGAGAGAACAAAAATGTGGGAAATAATAGGGTTTTCGTGATATTTCTTCGGTAGACGCTCGCTAATGAGTATCGCGTCTTCCCAGTGACGGAGAGACATCTTCATGGAGCCTGAACCATCTCTATGGTGATGTCTAAAGCGTGACAGACTGGGTCAAATTGAGGAGCTTGTTGTGAAGATAAGTTCGTGAACTAAATGTATCTCATCTGGCGACTCCATAGGCATTTGATTCCTTCCACCATAGTCATTCAACGAAATTCTAAAAAAATTGTCAAGGCGGATAGATTAAAGGGGTTTCGCTCATTATATGACTGGACCAAACATCTCGCGATGACAACCATGCAACACTTGTATGAAAGTACCATTCCGACCAATAATCCAAGGCAAAGTGCTTCGTATGCCTACTTTACCTACTCGGCAAAAGGGAACGAACTTTGTTTAGTTTCTGTCTTTATGTTATAGATTGCATCTTTTCTGCCAACGAAATGAAGGCGGAGCCCGTTTCGAATGCTTCTCCGATCTAGAAGTTCTCGCGAATAGAATAAGATGTTGATCCCCTCTTCCCTTTTTGCTTGCTTTTCCCGCCCCGGGCGTAGAGGAAGAAACCTAAGAGACTAAGAGAACTCAACTCTTAAATCCTTTTTTTAAAAGAACCCTCTTTTTGTCATTTCTTGGCCTATTGGGATAGTAGCCTTCGGACTTTGTCCGCCCTTTACAAGATTTTGGATTAGCCCGATAAAGCGCTAGCAACAATAGAAAGAAGGGGTCCATGTAGTTGTTGCATACAAGATTTTGGATTGGCTCAATAAAGCGCTGGCAACAATCGAAAGGAAGGGGTCCATGTAGTTGTTGCGCCCGCCCCCTTCTTAGTCAATGGGGCACAGCAGGTTCGGCATCGACTGCAAAAGATTCTCAAGATTATTAATTGAAAATAAACCATGAGGAATCGAAGACAAGTGAATCTAGAAAAATAATTTCATTATGCGAACCTTAACATTGTTAATTCAAAACATGGTGAGCCAAAATGTCGTCCCAACCTCTTGGCAACATGTCCCATTTTCTCGTGGCCTGCGAGTCTCTTGAATCTTTTCTATAATGAATGTCTTGTGACCTAGTTACAGTTAGGTTTTGACAGGTCCCTCGTATCATCATGCTACACGAGCTACACGAGCTACACAAGATGGCTGGATCGAGTTAACCATAATAACTTCGAGCAAGCTTCTAGGATTAAATCCCTTTAGAGCTAATGAGAGAGTCTGGTGTGAACCAAATCAGTCGAGCTGATGTGGGCCAAACCAGCCGAACTACCAGCACTCGATTAAACCGAGCTACTAGAACACATTAAACCAAGCTAGTGAGAGCCCAACCGACCGAGCTACTATATATATATGTTATATCACCCGCAGCACACGAATATCATACTAGTATCAATTACAAGTTCCAACAAAATATATAGTAAAAATCCCCTCTTAATATAATTTGAAAACGTGCTGAGCCTAAATGGCTGCTTCGCACGCTTCGGAAGCTTACTTGGCAACATTACATGCTTCGACTTTTAGTTCGGATACATTCCATAATTGTTTAAAATAAAATACTTAATAAATAGGATTCTTATATGTCGTGTAAATCCTTAAACTCCAAATCCTTATCGTATAAAGCTTATTTGACAACATTACATCTTAGAATTCTTATCTTGTCGTGTAAACCAAAATAAAAAATTTAGCTTTATATATTATTTTATTTATATAATTAATGTAAACAATAACTTTTTTTATATAGTTTAAATTAAAAAAAATACTATAATTTTACAAAAAATATATAGCGGCTTGCATATTATATCTTTTCAATCCAACCATAAATACATTATTTAAATCTTTTTAAAATATTTATAAAAATACATTGAAATAGTTATAGAATATTATATGATCTTTCTAATATATTTTAAAGAGAAAAAATACTATAATTTTACAAAAAATATATAGCGACTTGCATATTATATCTTTTCAATCCAACCATAAATACATTATTTAAATCTTTTTAGAATATCTATAAAAATACATTGAAATAGTTATAGAATATTATATGATCTTTCTAATATATTTTAAAGAGTTGAAATAGTTATACAACAACATATGTGTTTTTTCTATTATTTTATATTTTATATTTTTTTTCAAACAACTCGTGTAGTACACGGATGTCGTACTAGTAATTATTAAATGACAATTTCCATGTGAATTTACCGTCCAAATACAGCGGGGTCAATATGTAATTATAGAAATTGATTATATGGGGTTAAAATTTGAAATACCCAAATATATACTGCCTCCGCCCCAAGTCTTGTCGTCGTCGTTTGTCCAAACCCCGAAGCATTAAAAACCTTACTGCAAAATTGATCAATATCTGAAGTCTGAACAGAGCAAGTGAAAAGATTCAGGATTTAGAGAGAGAATTTGGGCGGTGAGGTATGTACAGAGGCGTACCTCGTCTAAGGGCTTCTGGCTCGTTGATATGGAACAATCTATCGAAGGCCCAGCTGAGAAGGAGAGCTTCGAATTCAATAGCTGCTATTCAAGACACGTTTTTTTCCACCAAGGTAATTTTCAAATATCGTTGATTTTTCCTTTATTTTCCCTATTCGGGTTGTAGTCGATATTTATTTCCAGTTTTTATGTATGTGTTCAGTGATTGTGTTCGTCTTTGGCCGTTTGTGTTTGTGTGTGTGTTTTGGGGTTTTGCAGGAGATATTTGAGAGGCATAAAGTGGTGTTTACCATATCAACTTCTATTGCATCAATTGCTACAGCATGGGCTGGTATGTTTTTTCTTTCTTTTTTTCCCCTTCTTCTTTGCTCTGGCATATGCATTGCGTGGTTTGATTATGTTTACAGGGAAGAAGTCGATCGTTATACCCTGCCTGTTTTATTTGTTTGAATTATGGGGTCAGGTGCTTGGAACTGAACTGCTGAAATCAAAGTATGATGGGGGATAAATAATTCTTCAATACAGTGATGAAGAATTTGTGACGATGTCTATATTTGAGTGTGTAATAGGATAAACTTGTACAGAGCCTGAGCTACTTACACATTTTCGTACATAGAAAATTTATGATTTTAATAGAAAACATGTACAGAGCTTGAACTACTTTCACATTTTAGTACATAGGAAATTTATCGACTGAGGTGACCCCACGATTTTCCGTTCAGTTTTGGGGAAAAAACCATGTCTCGGAAATAGAAAACAAACAGGGAAATGGGTTGTTGTATGATTTTATGAATTTTTAAATCATTGAACCACAAATGATCTTCAGCCTCCATTTTCGAGTAACTATTATTTTTCTTTGCTCTGAGTTTATATTTTAATTTCTTTATGAACTATGCGTATGTCCCTCTTTCTCTAGTTTAAGTCACAATGAGATCAAGGTTATATTCAATTGCTTTCTATATCCAAGGTACAAATAGTGGGATTTTTAAGATGGAATGAAACATATTAACTAAACTACTGTACATTGTCAAATTGAATATCATATGTGGTAACTAGGTAGCTTCACCTTATAAGGTTCATCTTCGGAAGTGATTGGAAACTTAGTTGTTGTACTATATCTTCAAAGGTCATAGAATTTTTGTCTTTCTAAATGTAATAACTAATAACTACCCATGATAAACTATTATCTTGCAACTTACTGATTACTCATGTGACGTGTATGTTGTTGCCTCTGCAGGTTATACCTTACGTCACTTGCACGAGTCAAGAGTGGAGCAAAAGCTTGAATCAATTGAAAAGACCGTAAGTATTTTTTCGAATTTCGTATGTAAGGCAGTAATCACATGCCAACATTCTTATGCAACGTGAGATTCTTAATTTTTGTTTTTGGCAGATGAAAGGCAGTTATCGCTTGGAAGATCCTGAGTTTAAGAAACTTGTTTCAGGAACTGTGAGTTTTCCAAGTTGTGTCGCGACTGCCGGAACCAGTTTGATTATTGGGTAAGTTAATCACATTTTTGAATCCATAATTTGTTTTTTTATATTTCTAAATATTAATGAGGGCTATCAAGTGTTGATCATCTGAAGTGACAGGATTATGTTCATAACCAGATGGACTTAAAGAATACACGTCTAATAGGCTGTGTGAGAAGGAATAAAGGAAATAGGAAAACAATAATGATAATTTGAAGCAATATAGTCCATTTGTATTGTGATAATTAACTTGTATCATCAAGATTTTGTATATATTCTAGTAAACTCATGTTTTTCTGTGGAGTAACCCTAGTCTTGAGCGATTAACTTTCACGCGAACAAGATGTTTATTTTACTAGCCTCTATATCCATGATCTATAGAGCTGTTGAAAAAAAAAAACTCAGAATTTGCATGTATTTGCAGAAAACCATGAACTTGGTCAGAACTTCTCATAATTGTTAATGCATTTACTCATTTTATTGTATTGTCACCACCCTTTCATGAATTGAAACTGCACAAGAAGCAGGACACTCAGATTACAACCTCAATTTATTTTTTCGATTTTTCTCATGAAAAATGCAGGTATGTCTTGGGCTGGCGAGGCGGGGCCTGGTATGCAAACCGTAAGTTCAGAAGAGAACAAATGAAATTGTTAGGACAGATAAAGCCTAAAAGGTGGCCACTCAAGTTCCTAAGAAGGCCCCTTTTAAGACCTAGACTGAAAGAAACTGCCGAAGGTAAGGTTTCTTCAGAACCCTTGCAAACAACACAACAGTCATGTCCGAAGACGAACAAACGAAATTTATGACAATTTATCTGAGTTTGGATATTTATATTACTCTTATGGAGAGTTACAAAGTCGATATTGATATGGAGCACAAAACTGATTTGCTTTCAATTGTCCATCTTGAACAAAATGCTCCCCTTGATGATACCGATCATGGGAAAGGAAAGAATTTTTCGATCTGTCTGTAGGGGTATTTACAAAACTACCCCCATCGGGATTTACAGCTACTCAGTGCGAAATATTTTTGCGATAAATCTAATGAGGTGATTTGTATTTCAGAAATGACTTGAGTGTGTCTAAGTAGGCTAAACCGATATTAGTTTGTAATTTCTGTGTTTATTAACATTATAATTAGTATTCTGGTAATGTCAAAGGTTTGATATACCTTAGAGAAGTAAAAATGACCTCAATCAGATGCAGCTATGAAATTATTGCAATTCTGTAACTATCTCGATTGAGAGAGATTCAGGTAATCTTAAAGGGATTTATAATAAAAGAACTTGAGATAAATATATGATGCATTATTATGTGATTTGCAAATAAAATTACCATATTATTTTTTAGACTTAAATGGACAAGGGTGTGAAAATAACTCATTTAATATCTCTCTGTCCCCGTGCGATGCACGAGGTACGTACTAGTTTTTATTTAAATAGTTTTCAATTAAAGGGAAGTGTTTCATTTGTCTTATCATAATATCATGGATATAAAAAAACACTCGTTCAATTTCATAATATCATGATATAACCCAATATTATCATATCCCTTGTGTGGTTAATATATTATGAAATTTTGACGCATGGATTTAGGTCTGTTTAACAAAATGAGTTGCTCGTGAATTCGGCTATATTCAGCTCGTTTGTTAAAGTCGAGGTCGAGCTTGCTTAAAGCGTTTGACTCTACTCGATAAGACTTAAACATAAAATTTTATACCATATAGTTTTGTTCGATAAAACTCGAAATCAGCTCGAACTCGAGTATATAATATTAATAAACGAGTCGAGCCACTCTGAGCTCGAGCTCGACTCAACTCATTTATAGTTCTATGCGTGATTGATGAACACATTTTAACGTGATCAAGTTGATGAATGATGAATTTCGATAAACTAACAGTCGTGCAAAGTAACAATATTGTTACTTGTTTGCCATATGTCTCGCCATATATCTCATATGGCCTACACCTCAATGACATCTTTTGACTTACATAAAGTATGAGCTTTTGGTTAGAAAATTCCACCACAAATAACACATCGAGAATCTACAATTTCCTGCACCTCAATGACATCTTTTGACCTGAATAAAGTGAGATTTGGGGTAAGAAAATTCCACCACAAATAGACATACCAAGGCTTCATCATGAGTAAAATGGCCTTTTTAACAATTTATCCAAGTATAATATTCGTACTTTATATTGGGGTGGAATTAAAATATACAAGCATAGTATCAAATTTCAACTTTAAGAATTTTGAATTTTCAAACACCTATCATATAATATTAAAAATATTATTAATATTCAATATTGCACTTGTTTAACATTAAAAAAAAAAATTACTGGTTATTGGCAAGTATTAGTTTACGTGCTCAAATTAACCAGGGGAAAAACTATCTCATGAATACTAATTTAACATCTTAACAGCCAAATCCATAAGAAAATTTGAAAATCAAAATATGATAGAAAACCTCATATTCCTCCCAAAAAAAATAAAAAATTTCATTGTCATACCTATGCAAAGACAAAATAAAATGAAAAAAGAAGATAAACACACACACAAAGTCAAAGAGTATAGTATTCTTCCCCCTTCCTCCAATTAATCCCATGAGCCTTAAATAAAGTTAGCCACAGACGTTAAATTTAATACAACATCAAAAATACCATAGTTTTGTGGAGGGGAAACCAAAAGATAGCCAAAAATAAACCTCGCCCGGCCCTTCAACCCCTTTCTAAGGTAGTCGAAGTTTCAAGCTTCGGCCCCAACAACATTGTTCACACGTCACTCGAGTCCGTTCTGAATTACAACCTCAGAGGATGGTTCTTGTGAGTCTTTCTCTTTCTCCTCGTGCGAATCTTTTGTGTTTGCATCATCATTTTTCTTATCATCGTTGTTGCTAGCTGTTGGGCCCTTCTTGACCCAATCACCAGACTTTGATGATTTTGGATCGGACATCGACATTCTCCGATATGGGCCTGGGTTCGAATAAACCGGGCTTAGAGTGTGCCCGCTCAAGCCATACTGTGCATTGTACGCGTTAGGATATCCCTCCAATGGGTGGTCGAATTTACAAGTGGGCCCGTATTTGCAGAGCCCGTAGAAACTGTAAAACGAACACACTGTCTGCCCCTGCATTTGGGAGTAAAAATCCTAGCAAACTTAAGCCAAAATATACAAATCGATTTCAACTGCGAAATTTAAAGTTGGGAATTTTTGTATGTGCAGGGATTGAAATGAAATTGCATCACTAGTATTTTTTTTTTTCTTTGGATTACACAATTCATTAGTAACAAAGTATAGTTTTGTTCATTTAGTTAAGAAAAAGCTATACACATGATCCCACACAAAAGAATTGCCACATTTATAATTTATTGGAAAGAGTAAACACAAAAAGTAGTTTGACATGCTATAAAAAGTACTACCTCCTATTCTTTTTAAATGTCATTTTGACTTTTTCAATTATTAACCAAAATAAATGTGATCTTTTGTACATATTTTTCCATCATTACCCTTATTTAGTTAATAAATACACTACGTTATTATTGGCAAAAAAATTATTCTTAATTAGTGTGCAACTTCCCAAAATGACACTTATTATGAATAGGAGGGAGTATTGATTTGATTTGCCCCAAGTTTTGATACGAAAAAAGACACACTAATGGCTGAGAATGAAGATGTGAAGAAACTTACGGGCCTAAGAGGAAGCCCAAGTGGCCCAATGGTGCCTGAAGCTAACACCTTGTCCCTAGGGTGGTGATATTTGCAGTCTGATCCGTATTTACAGCTTCCGTAATTCATGAAATATCGACATTCTGGTTGATCTGGCCTTTCAGGCAGATAAGAAGCTGGAATTTGCCCATTAACTGGTAGAGGACTGACACTTCCCTAAAGAGCAAGAGAAGAACGTAATATAGTAACTATGTATTATTAGAAATTGTTAGGCATCATTTTCTAATAATCGGAAAAAAAGAAAAAGAAAAAAAGCAGATTCCAGCTATAACATCCAACATAAAAAAAGGGAAAAGAAAGAAAGAAAAGAAGATAAATTTGGATAATTCTACACTTCCTTCAATCCTGCAAGACATAATTTACCAGTGAATTCCGATAAAAACAACAAACCACAGAAAACTAGGAATTAAGAGAATGACGAACAATAACTGAACCAAAAGGAATAAAAGAAAAAAAAAACAAAAAACTAAAAGAATATTAACCGATAAAAGTATACCTACCATGTATGTATTCCATCCTTGTGGTGAAGACACATATAACGGCATGTAGCTCGGAGGAAGTTGAAGAGAACCAGCAATATAAGTTGCCTTTGGTAATGAGAGTTCACCTACAGAGGATGAAGAACCTCCGGGCCCCTCTAGAGGTTGGGGGTGATGGAACTTGCAAGCAGATCCATATTTACATGAACCAGTCCTCATGTAGTAAGGACATGACTTTTCACCCTGAAGACAACATATGACCAATCACAATCAACAATAATCCCACTAAAAACTAATCAAACCTTTGTCGAACATGAATTCTGATTGTAGAGAAACAAAAAACCACGGAAGTGACACCTGGCGCATTGGCAGGCCCAAAGCATTCATTACGATGTCACTCGGCTTATCCTTAGGGTGATGATACTTACATGCAGAACCATATTTGCATGTGCCTGTCTTTAGATAATACTGTATAACAATGTCATTTAAGTTACAAGAGCCAGTGCCAACATATCAAAGTCAAAATACGAAAGCAATGCATATCTAAGGGAAATCAATGTCATTTAGAAAAATATAACACCTTTGGACTACACAATGCAGTCCATTTAGTTACAAGTTCAGGGTAAACAAGTACAATCGAGTTATCCATAAAACAAACCACGTGAATTGTACTACATTCCGTAAAACAAGGTAGACTAACGAACCTAGAACAACAGAATAACTTCTTAGTCCATTTAATACAAACGAGATGTGATAAGTTATCATAAACTTATACATATAAATAAAGATGATCGTCCTATTTAAATATACACTGCAATAAGCAAGAGAACTAAGACAAAGTAATAATTAGCTCAATAGAAAAAGATCTTTCAAGTGAAGATATTAATCCAAATTTTAACTACACTAGATAATGTAAAAGCAATAACTACCATGATGCCGTGCCTAATCAAACTATATTGCAGAATTCCTTAATGTAAGAAAGTGTTACTTCCACGAAAGTATTTTCTAAACAAAGATGGATATTAGACTCCAAATACTAAAATTTCGAAAATAATACAAAAGCAAAACAGAAACCAGAAAAACAGTAACCATGGACGATGACCAAAACCCGAAAAGAAAAAAAAAATAATAAAAAAAAACTTTAATGCAAATACAAGAACTTGATGCATCTCAACCCTTAGTCCAAAACACAAAGATGCAGGATAAATTACCCCACAATCTGGCTGTCCAGCTCTTTCTGGCAACTCACTGGTGTTTTTACCATCATAAACCTAGTAAACAACAGCAAACTATAAAAATAAAGATCGTTTAAGCTGTTCTGCCTTCCACTTACATGGGAAAAAAAACAGCAGTCAAACACAAGTAAGGGAAAAATGATATTTTTTTCAGTATGCCATTTACCTGCCCACCAGTAGAGGGGTGATTAAAACGACAGTTACTTCCAAAACCACAAGAACCTGTTCTCAGAAAGTATATGCAATTTGGTTCACCCGGTCTATCAGGATAAGTTTCTGGGTCATCATCCACTCTACCATTGCCACCAGTATCTTCAATCTTCAGTCTTCTCATTGTCTCTGGAAAATCATTCAATCAATACACACACAAACACAACACAGGGGAGAAAGAGAGAGAGAGAGAGAGAGAGAGAGAGAGAGANGTGCAATTAAATTCTAAAGACCAATACAAAAAGGAAAACACAACATTCAGAAAAAACAAAAACACATCAAAACCATTGATCTACGCAAAAAAAGAGCAAAATCCACACACACACACACACACCTTCGAGACTATCGGTCGGCGAACAATTCTTACGCAGTTTCTGATTCCCTGGCATTGATTTCTCCACAAAAAATCACACGCACACTGTGCCTCGAACACGATAATCACACCCTCAAGGCTTCGATTTCAAACACCACGCCACTGATTACAACACATGCGTATGATTATGATCGATGACTCGAAAATTTTCAGAAATCACGCCAACTTCAATGCGGAAAAAAATAATAGGAAAAAAAAAAACTTAAAGGCAACAAAATCTATCACTAGGATTCTGTCATCATAATGCGTATCGAAATTATTTTAAGCTTTCTCTCTCTAGATTTCAGGCATCAGATCTTTCCCACCTCTCAGAACTCTTCTCCCCAATTTTTAAATGCGTATTTTTCACGAAAGATTTTATTTTCTTTTCCTCTACAATCGTGTACGTTTATAAAAAGTTATATTATATATTATATTTTAGCATAAAATAATATTTTATATATAAGAAACTATTTTAGTAGACAATGTTTCAGAAAATTAATGTTGACGTCTTGACCAAACTAGCCCTCAACAAGGATATGTTAGAATTGATTTAGCATCCATTATAAGATGTTATTCGAGTCGAATGAGGAGTAGTTAACGAGCCGTTATTATTGCATATTAGGAGTGATAAAAAGAAATTAGGGTATACTGGTTTAAAAATTATTTCATTCTCATTCTAGGAGCGATAAAAAGAAATTATGACATGCTTGGTTACAAATTATTTTATTTTCATTCAATTTATACTCAAGATCTAACTCAACTCCACTATCTTTAATATTATTCATATAATTAAATTATACAAACCAATCATTCTTACACATCACACCAACTTTAATTCACTATTTATCCACTCACATAATTTTAACTACCAATCATTTCTAATCATTTATCTCCTATTTTTACATCAAATCAATTTTAATCATTTTATTTTAAATATTATTTTAATATATTTTTAAAATTCCACTAACATCTAACCATACAACCTTTTTCAAAATTAACTATGGTTGACCAAAATAACTCATTTTGAACAAATTATTCCATAAACAAGCGTCCCCTTAGGAATTCGTTTAAGCTTGTCTCAATTGTTTAATAAATATATATATATATATATATATATAATTACTAGCAAAGAAATTAATAAAACCTCATTTATTTTTCATACAAAAGAAGTTACAAAAACCTGTTTACTCTATTATCTTTTTTTTATAATTAAAACGTTAAACAATTACTAATCAATGAATATACTAGTACGACACTCGTGTATTACAGGGGTTGTTTGGAAAAAAATATAAAACAATAAATAATAGAAAAAACACATGTTGTCGTATAAAAGTGCAAAAATAGAAAACAAAAATATTCAGGTTGTATATAATTTGACAATTTAATTAAAACCCAAAGTAATGTTTTATATAAAATTAAATTATTTTAGTTTAAAAAAATTAATATTTTTTACATATGCTTCCTAATTCAACACCCGTGTATTTACATGGGTATTTGTGTTTAAATATTTTTTCTCAGGCTTGTTGGATTAGTGAAAAGGAAATTGACTGTTGAGATAAATGCAAAACAAAAGACTATATTTAATCATCTTGTATATCTACAGGAGAAAACAAATCTAACTCTATAAGCATAACCAGTCATACCAAATTAAGGATTTTCTAAAAATTTCTTAAACATAACGCAGAGCATAAAATGCACATGGCCAGAACCAACACAAACAAATTACAATTCAAGGAGAGGCAATAATAATAATTTATTTATATTTATATATATACTGACAATAATTGATGTAATAAAATAACTCGAATTATAATACCTATAGCTCATATGATAATAATCAGAAGGGGCATACGAAGGATAAGGTGCTGAATTGAAACCACCGTGTACCTTTTTTGTCTAAGACACAAATCTCCATTACAACACGATTTTCAGGTGGTTCTTGTCATGTTTGAACCATACACGCTCAATTGTGTTGAAAACAGTTGTCATGGTAAATTCAAATTTTGTAAGATAAATAATTGAGATGAAGGGGCTATGAGAATGAAGGGGGATGGTGATTTAAATAATGTAGAGAACTTTGTCATACCGATTTAGGATTAGGCAAAATACACGGCATAATAGGATTCTTAACATTTGGAGCACCTTATCCTACACGGCTCATATAATAGTAGGATTAAGCAAAATACACGACATTTCAAATTTATTATACACGGCATGATAAGAATAAGAAATATGCAACAACCTTTAAAGTTCGATTTTTTTTTTTATATTTAAACAGGCGGTGATAATATAGATCCGTGTATTACATATGTGAATTTTGGATAAGAATAAGTGATTAAAAAAAAACTTTTGAAGGAATTAAAATAAATTATGATAAGAATAAGAATCCTATTTGGAGTTAGGGTCCTATTTATTTTGGAATATAATTGTATTATTTTTATCCGAATCAAAAGCCGAAGCATGTAATATTGCCAAGTAAGCTTCCGAAGCGCGCGAGCCAGCCATTTAGGCTCAGCACGTTTTGAAATTATATTAAGGAGGGATATGTGTTATATTAAATAAATTTTCTACCTTCTAATATATAAATACATTAAACATAAATATATTAATTAATAAATAATTTTATTTTCTAATTACTTTTAGTAAATAATTTTATTATTATTATAAAAATAAATATAATTTATTTATTTTATATATACAATATAGATGTCAAATCGAAGCTCATCAAAAGATGATTAATTTGATATATTATATATGTAAAACCGATAAGAAATACAAAAGTTATCAACTTTTAAAATATATTTGCAATTCAATGGTAATAATAGTAAATGATATTAAAATACAATTAATACAAATATNGTAGTATGCCACATGCTATTCTCAGCTGCCCCCTTTTGCGGGAGCTCGATATAGCATCTTGTCACAAGCTCTTGGATACCTCGATTCGTGCAGCAGCAGCTTCGTGCCCGCTCTTGGAATCGTTGGATATGTCAAATTGCTCGTCCATCATTGATGAGACAATACGAGAAATAGCTATGTCTACTGGAAATCTTCGTTTTCTCGATGCTTCATACTGCCCAAATGTTGCTCTTGAAGTAAGAATGATGACTGTGGTTAATAATAATAATAATAATAATAATAATAATAATAATAATAATAATAATAATAATAGTAATAATTTATAAGATAATTAATAGGTAGGGTTATCTCATATTTATAAAAAGTAAATTATCCATTTCATTTTATGCAATCAATATAGTGATGAAATTAAATATTTTTATAATGTTAATTTTTACTAATGACAAATTTTTTAAAATGTGATACTATTATCTAACTTATAATTTTTATATTATATGCATACATATAAATTATAATAATTTAAATATTTGTGCATGTGCACATGATCGAATACTAGTTTTAATCAATTTTTGTGAACGATACCAGTTCGTCTGTCGGCTCATTTGTTTCAGTTAAAAATAATAAAAAAATAATTGAAAATAATATATTCTAGAATTTTAGAAACAATGTGAACTAAATTTATTTTTTATTTTTTCAACTAGTAATACATATGCACATAATTATGACAAATAAATCTTTGGTCTAAAATTACCGAACTTAGACTTTTCGTGAAACCATGAAATCAACTTGGTCTATTATAAAAGTTTTGAATCTACATATATGTTTGATTTTTGGGAGAATGTGTGGGGAAAAAAAAAAAAGAAGATACAAAATCAACTATAATATTTGATTTGTGGTTTTTTAGGGAACATGTTGTGTGTAAGATGGACATAATCCTATTTTATTTGGAAAGTATTATCACAACAATTATCAATGAAGTTTATTATTTCTTAACATAATATATTGATTGACAAATTTAAATATGGCCACAATTGTATTTGGAAATTAATTAATATTTATAAAATAATTTGACTTTCAAAGGAGCACGAGAAACAACAATCCCTTTAAATATTAATGGAACCTACCTAACAAATAACAATCTCTTAAAAGTAATTTTTAATTAAAAAGTCAATTAAAAAAAAAAAGATAAGAACAGAAAAGAATCGAAAGTGGTGGCACACGACTCCGAGGGCCTTCTTGTCTTTTCACGGCAGTCATACTTCACGCGCGCAAAATACAGAGCATATGATGTATTATATTTTGTTCCCAACAACAAAATCAAATAACATTTTATTTTAAATTTTTTTGCTGTATATTCGGAGAGAGGAAATGCGAGAAATCGTCGCCGTTGAAGGGCGTAATGGGGATAGCGTGGGCTGCAAGCAGACAGATATGGGCCGTAGATGGTCTTCAGATCAGTAATTGGGCTGGGGCCCACAAATGGGAATTTGTACTGCTTTGGTAAAAGGTGACGTGGGCCCACCGGGAGCCGACCCATTGCACGTAGAGACAACGAGTGCAGAGGAAAGAAAGCAAAAGTCGTTGCACTATTCTAACAATAAATGATCAATATAAAAATTAGGTAAAATTTTTGGTGAGACAATCTTGTTATTATTTGGTTACTTATATTATTTGAATGCAAATATGTATTTATCTTATTGAATGTTATATTTGATTTTTATTTTTAAAAATCTTTGAAAAATGCTACAAGTACATAATAAATGTACATAGAGATGTACATAACACTCACATGGAAGTGAGGTCTACTTGATTTTTTAATTTTGGTGGGTCCCACTCAATGTGAGTGTTTTGTGCACCCCTATGTATAATATTATGTACCTATAACATTTCTCAAAATATTTATATCTATAAAATGTATATATCGATCTAATGATTAGCTAGGGCTAACACAAGGGAGAAAATAAAAATAAAAAAGTCTA